TATCTATCTATCTATCTATCTATCTATCTATCTATCTATCTATCTATCTATCTATCTATCATCTAATTACATATTTATATAATTATAAAAATACACACAATCATCGCAGTTAAGTTAGTAAAATGATTAGTAAATAAATTTGGCTTTTCCATTTATTCTGCTTGTCAAAAGGTCCCAAACATGATTGGTTCATAAATATGGTAAATATGAGTCAGTTGCCAAGCATCTGAATTTTGATGAAGTGACCATGGGGGATGCTGCAACAGCTGTTAAGTATGAAAGATAGTCATGTCCCTTTTTTCAGTGCCGTTGTAATTTCAAATGATTCCCAAATGAACTGTTGTTAAGTCAACCTGTACCGCAGCTTTTAAACTGATACCATGGTAACATGAGATATGGCATATTAATCATATTTTAAACCAAAACAGGGTTAAATGTGAACTCTCCACACAGGGCCAGAAAGACAAATTTACACTAATATCCCTAATACTAGTCAAATGCATAATGGTACAATTCAAAATTTGCAAAACCAAAACTACTGTTAACAAATAGCATTTTCAAAGATACTGTATCTTTAGAACCCAATAGATATGTATTAAAAAATGTAGTGAGTTTAATGAAAAGGTATCCAGCAAACTACACTCATATGAAGCATGTTTATTTTGCCTCCAAAATTTAAATCTGCAGGATGCCTTTTCTCTGTCTTTCTTAGCTATTCTCAATTCTCTGGAGCAATAGTCCCATATCAGACTGGCCTTGACTCTGCTTATCTTTTGTAAAGCTATAGAGAGACCTGTTTCAGCAGACCTCTGGAAGTTGCCTTAGTCATACTAGATGGGATTATTCTACAGATGTTATTTATTACGTTAGTATGTTTGTGTTGTTACATTTGCCTTCTTAGTCTTATTGCTGTTCTGAGATCCATAAGCCATCCCAATTTCGACATGATTGGCATGAAATAAGCCTAGAAAAATAAGTAATGCGTTCAACTGAGAGAAATCAAATGTACCAGGACAGTTTATACCAGTGTTCCTTAACTTTGGCAACTTTAAGATGTGGGATTTCTACTAACATAATTCCTCTGCCAGCAATGATGATAATAAAACTTAAGAACAAATACATACAAAACTGGAATTGAGAAGACAGCAACAAATAGCAAGTGCCACCTCTGCAAAGAAGCTGAAGAAACAATGGATCACCTGGTCAGCTGCTGCAAAAAGATTGCACAGACAGACTACAAACACCACATAACAAATGAAGCTAAATTATTCTTGGACTTTACAATTCAAACAGACAGGCATCAGTAACTCCCAGACTTAACAAGTGTTGACAAGAAAGACACACACACAAATCTGGATAGTGGATATGGCAGTATCTGGAGACAGAACAGAAGACCAAGAATTGGAGAAGATAACAAAATACAAAGACCTGCAAATTGAAATAGAATGACTGTAGCAAAAAAAAGCAACAGTAGTACCTATAGTAATAGGCGGCTTAGATGCAATCTGAAAATAACTGGAGCACCACTTGAAGAGCATCAGTATAACAAAATCACCCTCAGTCGATTGCAAAAGGCAGCTTTGTTTGGAACAGCTTATATCTTGCAATGATACCTTTAACATAATAAAACAACAACATCTGTCTATCCCAGATCCTTGGGAAGGGCTACATAGGTGTATGAAAAAGCCAAATTCAGCCATACTACAGTCACAATCTGGCTGACCAATCGTAATAATAATAACAAACAGAAAGAATCAGCAACATAACATCCCAAACATAACAACTGTTGATAAGAAAGACAAAAAAAAAATCTAGATAGTGGCCTTGGCAATGCCCAGAGACAGCAAAAGAAAAAGACCTGGAGAAAAATCATAAAATACGAAGACAAGTAGAACAACAAGTGGCAAAAGAAAGCAAAAAATAGTATACCAATAGTGATAGGTGCCCTGACAGCAATCCCAAAACATCTGCTTGAATACCATCGTCATTGACAAAAATCACCATCAGTCAATTGCAAGTGGCAGTTTTTACTTAAAGCAGCTTACATACTTCATTGATACCTTTAGCATTCTTTAGACATCTGCCTAACCCAGGTCTTTGGGAAGGACTCAATAGGTGAATAAATAGGCCAAATCCAACCTAAACACCTGGCCGACTGCGCGACGATCCATAATAATTAGCAGCAGCAGCAGCAGCAGCAGCAGCAGCAGCAGCAGCAGCAGCAGCAGCAGCAGCAGCAGCAGCAGCAGCAGCAGCAGCAGCAGCAGCAGCGTTTATTGGGCGACCCACCTCCCTCTCCTCCGCCACCCCGTTACCTTCCACCCAGCCCCGCCAGCCTCTTCGGTCCTGGTCTTCTTCCTTCCCGCGCTCCAGTTCCGCAAGGGAGATTCTCCAATGCGATTGGCGGAAGGCAGGGCAGCGAGGTCCGCAGAGATATAAAAAGTGCAGAGTACCACCACCCACCACCCAAACAGAGATCAGACTTCCGAGATCCACATTTATTGCTTCTCGAAAACCAAAGAAAAGCGGATCCCCTCCTCGTTTTATTACCGTTGCAGAAAGGACGCTTCCTTCCACTGAATTATCTATCGTTAACATAATATATTTCATTTCTTTTTTTGAAGAGTGAATCTCAGTTTCCCCTAGGGTACACAATGTATCAGTCAATATGTAAGGAAATGGAACTGTTCCGAAGGCATGTAATGTAGGTGTGCAGTATTTATGTTCATAATTTGCCAACTGTAGTCTGTGATATGTTTAGATGCTAACAAGCTATCTATTATGGTCTGCGCTTCGCTGCGCTAGGCTATGTTAAGGGGTTACATGGTACTCTTGCTTTTAGCCCTAGATGTGCTTGGTTCCGATTCCAACCAATTTTGCTGGACATGGAAGTGAAGTTTTATTTATGTAATATATTTGGGTTTGTTTTTTTTGTCAAATGTACAAATACAGGTATAAATATGAACATGAACACGGGAAATGGGGACAATAGAACAGAGACAGTAGGCACGCTTATGAACGTCCCTTAGTGTTGTGTTCCAGAACCCGGGGCCTGGTGTCCTCCACATGAACGCGTGCAGCGCAAGTGCACACTGCACGTGCATGCATTCTATCCTCCAGTGACAGTTCTGTGACGCTCCAGCTGCTCACTGAAGAGTAGACAGGTAAGGATAGGCAGGCCCTCCGGAGCACCGTACCGGAACAGTACCCGGTGCTCTGGGCAGGGACCAGTATGCCCGCACAGGAGCGTACCATCTGCAACCCACCACTGCTTACAGAACTCTTAGGAATAGGGTGAGGACCACGGTACAGTTAAAGGTTAAAGTTATGGGGGTTTGAAGCAGTGGTGGGTTCCTACAGGTTTGGATCTGTTCGACCAAACAGGTAGTGGTTTGGAGGCCTGGGTTGCTGAAATCGGCAGCAACCCAAGCCTGCCACATCCCCGAACCGGTTCTCATCTTGTTTTTTGGTTATGCGCATGCACATGCGTGAAGCACATGCAAGCAAACCAGCAGTAGTGCCTGCCGGAACCCACCCCTGGTTTGAGGATGTAACAACAGTCAGGTAGTGCATTCCAGGCATTGACCACTCTGTTGCTGGTCATATTTCCTGCAATCAAGTTTGGAGCGGTTTACTTTGAGTTTGTATTGAGTTGCTGATATCATTCAGTGACAGAAATGGACTTTGAGAGAAATACAAAAGCGGTCGGTTTTACTTTTTGGAACTACCTGGCAATTTTACATTTAAAAGTGTGGTGTGGCTATTGACCAGAAAGGACATCCGAGTTTCCTCTTTAATAGGTATCTTTAAGAGGCAGTCAGGGACACACTAAGCTTTGATGTGAAACAGCCCTGAAGGAGGTCTTCTTTTAGGACAGATGGGGAACTATGGCTCTTTTATGACTTGTGGACTTCAATTCCCAGAATTCCTTGAGCCAGCCATGTGGCTCAGAAATTCTGGGAGTTGAAGTCCACAAGTCATAACATGGGTATGGTCCCCCACATCTGCTTTAGGGACAAGCGACTTCCAGGTCCCACTGTAGGAATGCACTCTCTTAATCATTGGAAATCGGAAAACTGGATTTTAAAATAGGAAATCCTGGACAGGGAATTCTAATAATTTTCCATAGCTCAAGTTAATAGGGTGAGAAACATTGCTTTGGAGTAAATGAAAAAAGGCACTTTTGAACGTTGAGAAGGAACCTTTAAAACTGAAATTTTCAAAATAATGTGGCATAAAACTCTTCATATTCAAGTGGAAAAGCAATCATGGTCATCTACACGCACACATGCACGCACACACCCAACAAACCCACCAAATTTCCTTTTATAAAAGCATTTTTTTCAAATCTGGCAACTTTAACATGTGTAGATCTGACTAGGGAATTCTGGGAGCACAACACATCTTAAAACTGCCACATTTGAAAACCTCTATTTAAGAACATCACTTGATGGCAATCTATCAAGCACTCAAGGCCTGTAGTGAGCTAATTTAAACACTACTGGGAATTGTGGATATTGAAAATCTAGAATGAGGACTGGAAATTCCATTTTAGAATATAATTTAAAGCCATACTGTATTGGTTCAAGGAAAGATAATGAGCAGCAGTATTTATCAAATGGAAGAAGCCAAACCCCAATTTAAGAAATTAAATTACAGAACATTATTTGAAGCTGCCCAACAATCTTATGGGGAAAGATGAGTTATATGGGGAGAGACATTAAAAGACATTTTTTGTATTTCTTGAAAACAGGTGTTTGATGTAGACTACATTTGATGTGACATTAAAAAAAATCACTAGAACAAACGTTTGCATGTTTATCTTTTTATTTCATTATCTCGATATTTGATATTTCTGGAATTAAAAAATACATAGGGGCTTACTAATCCCTTTTATAAGGGTTTAAGATACAATTATAAGCCTCCACTGCTAATTGATCACTGCACCAATACTAAAATTTCAAGATTTATACTTCCTCCCATGCCCCTCCCCCCAAAATAGGCCTACTATATAGACATCCAGAAGCACTGCTATACAATAGTGAGTTGCAGATACTGCCTACTGTAAATAGCATTGCTCAGCAAACCAGTTTTCCTGAGGAAACAAATAAGCAGCAGCATGACCACAGGTGATCACATGTCTTCAGAATACATGCAAAATCAGAAGATCCCAGCATCCTTCCATAAGACACTTGTAAGGTTGTAATATGACACATTGAGGAATCCAATATGATCAGCTATAAGGGTGGGAGGGAATGCAGAAAATGCAACAATTAAGGCAAGGCTAGGTTAGGTTAGGGCAACAGCAGTGCAATTGGTGAGATGTAATTCATGTGCTGACGGTGATGATAGCAATATCTTGTCTGGTGGGTTAGAAGGCCTTTCCCAATATAAAATGAATCCCAGCTTATGGGTTCCAGTCAAAATATTGTAATTCATCCGACAGAAAACTAAAAGCCATTAAGCTTATTATACTAAAGACATCTTTCATCCCACACCCACCCATCCTCTCCAAGGCACCACTTTACATTTCATCAACACTGCTCCTGGAGCCAATTACACCTGGCCTCTGAAGAGAGAACATCATCATCTAATCAGAAGAATCACTTGAATCCCAGAGAATGTCTGAAAAGTCAAAGTTTCTATCTCTGTGCAACAGCGCAAAGGTAAGAGCCCACTGAATAAGGCACACTTCCACATCATCATCGTCATCCTCCTCATCAGAGCTATCAGATGGAGATGGATTGTAGACCTGTGATATGGAAGACATGACAGAAAATAAATTAATAACACGCTGACATAAAATCTCTCCCAGTCTGCCAGAAAATGGTTTAGGATTTAAAATACTCTTAGATTTTTAAAAGACAAATTAAGGCAATGATTTTTTTCAAGTAGCATCAACTTTATCTGCAACTTTTACGAAAACAAAATGTATATGTGGAGTAACAAAGATTGGCCCAAGACTCAATGCAACATTATGGAACTCAAAATAAGGTATTTCTATGATGCATCCTTGCCCAACTTGATGTCTTTGAAATTTCCAGAATTCCCAGCCTGGAATGAGATTGAGAATTATGATAATACCACACTAAGCTAGGCTGTGGAGCAGAACTGCCTGGAATTAGCTCTGAAATGGGTATGTTGTTGCTCAAAAAATAGCTGAAATGTTTCACTTTATCTCAACCATATGAAAGTATCACTTACAAAGGGTGACCGATTCCGCCGATTAGGCCTTTGTCGTAGCCTTGCAGCAGGAAGCTGGCCACTAGGAAGTTCATGCAGGTAGATGCATTCTGATTTAAAGGGACAGTGACCATTGCTTCGGACAAAGAATTTGCATCGTATTTTGCTAAGAGAAACCAAGAAATTATTAGAACAATAGCAGCAGGTATCTCCCTTCATTAATGTTTTTTTTTTAAATTTAGACAACGTATAAAAGCAATACACTGCAACTCATCATCAGCTAAACCACCAAGTTACATCCTTAATTACAAAATAATCTTATCAACAATTTATTCCCAATTATTAAAACAGGCGGCCGAAAGCCAAAGAGATCAGAAATTGAATTAAATTTGTAATTGGATTTCCCTCAAGCTACAGCCTACAAATATGTGATAGCTGGGAAAACAGATAGTCCTCAACTTACAACCGCTCCATTTAGTGACTGTTCAAAGTTTACAACAGTGCTGGAAAAAGTGACATGACCATTTTTCACACTTATGACTGTTGCAGCATCCCCATGATCACATGACCAAAATTCAATTGCTTGGCAATTGGTTCATATTTATGACCGTATGCAGTATCCCGGTGTCATGTGATCCCCTTTGAGACCTTCTGAGAAGCAAAAGTCTATGGGGAAGCCAGATTCACTTTTACAACCATGTTACTAATTTAGCAACTTCAGTGATTCACTTAAAAGTCACAAAAGTCACTTTATAAATTTCTCACTTAGCAACATAAATTCTGGGCTCAATTGTGATCATAAGTTGAGTAATAACTCCATTGAAAATGTGGGCATGACACAACTATTCATATCTTCCTTCTCCTTCAGAGGTTTAGGATTCCCTACATAGCACTGCCTCCCACAATTTTATACAAATACCAATCTTGTGTGGTACGGTTGATTGATCCAAAGTTATCTAACAAGATTCTGGAGCCGAGTTGAATTTGATCCTGGGTCTTTTTACAATTCTAGTCCAGTAACTTAACAATTGAATCACAGATTTCTGAAGTTGACTGTGGTCCCAGGGCTTTAAATAAATTAAATAATTTTTGTACAAGGAAAGTTGTTTGTTTTTTCACATTTGAGCCAGACCTGATTCCTGGAAAATACACTGCAATTTTCTA